CCCCAAAACCCCAAAACCCCAAAACCCCAAAACCCCATGATAGAATTTAAAGCTGAGTACAGTGTTCAACTAAATTATAATTTTAATCTAAATTAAATGAACAACGACTTATTTATGAATTATGCCCAAAGTATGCAAGATGAGACTCAAAGTCTCTGAAAAGCAAGAGTTTGGGCTCTGAAATTAGTGGTTCAGTCGTTCTCTTATATGTTTATTAATTATTTTTAAATACCTAAGAAAAAGGAATATCATCTTCTCACCTTATATTAAAAATTGTTATCTTAAGCTGGACAAATGTTTAATTTGATAGCAAGAAGTTCTTCAGGGATGACATTCAGCAATGTATGCCTCATTGATACAAAGATCTGCGAGGTACTACAGTTTATATATCTTCTCTGAATTATTTCTGAATTCATGGACTTGAATAATCTCTTGATGAATTTTTTAACAGATCTAAGTGCTTTCTTCATTTCAGCGTCAGGTCTAAACTTGGGCCTTGAATTCATTGGCTTTTCTAATTGTTGGCGTCATTTTGTAATATTGGAAGCTTTTGGATAAGTTTCTTTTGCTGACTCTTTTTCAAGTAAGAAGTACTAAGTTGGTTGATGTTTTCTGCTATTTGATCTAAATTTTCGGACTTAGTTAAATTCTTTGATGTTTTAAGATAAGGCATTTTGCGTATCTCATCTTTGATTTCAATTAACTCACCGGTTAAGATATGATCCTCTTGAGCGTTCTGAGTTCAAATTTTCTTAATAAAATCAGAATCGAAAATTCTAAACGAACTCCAATTTTGTCTTATTTCTCAAGGTACCTATATAAACTAAACCAAGTTATCCTCCAACCTCAAAAAATTTCAACTACCCCAAAATTTTTGAGAAGCAACACCCATTGCCTCCATCTTCCTAAAACTCTCCATCCAGTGTTCACTTACCATTTCTTCAAAAATATTATCACATTCCAGCTTTCAACAGTAATCTCCTTGCATACACTCACTCATGACCATTGGTTGTTCTTTCCCTAAAGGAAGTTCTGGTTTAGTTCTAAAACTCATTGTCCTTTATATATAATTTCTTTTGTTAAATAACTTAAATGCTATGTGGGGTTTTGGGGTTTTGGGGTTTTGGGGTTTTGGGG